CAAATATATTAAATAATAGAAAAATCAAGATATCATATTGATAAAAGAGCTAAATAAATAATATTATTTAAAGTTAAATTAAATCCATATTGATAAGAAAGATAAATAAAAGGAAAGAAACAGGGCAATTACGTACCGAAGACTATGGTAATAACCGTTGGAAGTTATAATGCTTGAATTATTAAGAGAAATTGTCATTGGTTGTTGAAAACAAAATAAGACTATGGTTTTCTGATTCACGTCAATCGGACACGTGTCAAATTATTGTGGAAGTTTATGGTCTTATGTCGTACTAGTTTGTGTACTAGCGACCATTTACGTGACATTGGAGTTATAGGTCCGAAATGGTGATGTGCGGTAAGGTTAGGCCTACTACAATGGGTTTTAGTTTTGTGGATTAATGTACCCGCCCACTTCACGATATATATATAGGTGCATCATGCATGTAGACTTTAATCTTAGGCTCTAAAACGATATGGGGGAGATAGCACGAATATTTTTGAAATCAAACTATTCTGCCCATTGGATTTTTCTGATTATTATGTATAACCAAAATATTCAAAATCAAGAGGAAGGAAAATCGAAAAGTTACGAAATCCCTTAAACCAAACGATAGAGAATTCTTATGGGAACAATGTTGCAGATTGCCTATGTTCTTTAAGAACAATTATTTTCTTCACAATCGGTTCATGTTTCGTATGGTCGAAATATTAATAAAGCGAATCTTGATAGATTATACACGAAAAGAACTTGATCAGTAAAATGAAAAAAGAATCTCTGAAATAAGATGACTAGTAACTTTCAAAATATTGTCTCAATGATCTTGAAAATCATAGATGGAACTCATGCGAATCACATAGCTTGTTGTTGAAAGCCACACTTTATTTATTTATCCACAATGCTTGTTGAAAGCCATATTTTTTTTGTCACTTATAACACGTCTAGTGATTTGGAATAAAATATTATTCTCGTAAAATAAATAAATTACATGAATATAAAATTACGGATAATAAAGTGAAACAAACACATATTGATCATTAACTATAAAAGTTTCGAGTGTAACTCAAAAGAGAGCAGCAACTGCAGAAACAAAGGCTACCAAAAAAGTAGCACCACTCAACGAAGAAGCGGCATTTCCAGCAGCAGGTGTAGTAGTAGTGGTTCCACTAGAACCGGGAGGTGTAGTGGTCCCAGCAGGAGGGGTGGGGGTGGTTCCTCCAGCAGCTGGGGTGGTTGACCCTGCTGGTCCTGGGGTAGCACCACCACCACCAGTTCGTCCACCAGCAGCGACTACATTGATGGCAAGTTTCTGACCAAAGCGGCAATGGTCACCAACGGTGCAAATGTAGTATTGTGGACCAGTGGTGTTTAGAATAATCTTGACCGGAGGAGTTGTCATGAGGCTGAGAGGCTTCTCTTTGTCACAGTTTTCATATGCATCTTTTGTTACAACTGCCACATCATGACGTCCAGCAGCGAAATCGAATTCTATAATGACAATGTGAAAAAGATGTTTAGTCTTTGATGTTTGGTAGATATATATGAAAATTCAAGTTTTTGCTAATAAAGAATATTAAGCTTAAAAAAATAGCCGATGACTTGAAAAGTACACCCATATGCAAACAAGATTCATAATAAACTCACACATAGAGATGTT